ATCTACAAAATGAAGTATTAACCAAATGGCTAATTATATTCAAAAGCATAGACTGTAATATCACCTGTATGCTAAGAAAGCACATTATGTTTGTAGTGAGAACTATGCTTTGATTTTCCTGACTTTTGCATATAATCTTCTAACCCTAAGACTACGAATAACAATAATAGTTCTTTGGAAAAGAATGTGAGAAGTCATTTTATACCTCCCATAACCTTCATAATATTTTCCTGATCAACATTATTTAATATAGACTAGAATAGCTCTTTTGTTTAAAATATACTATCACCATCACTATCACAATCACTATCATCACCACCAGCATCATCAATACCATCATCATCTACTTTATATTTTTACAGTAAACAAACTATATTCACCTGATTTAGGGAACCCAGCAAGAATCATGTCATCACTTCTGGCTTCAAAGGACTCCATAGCTTTGAATACTTCATAAGAGCAAAGAGTAGTGGGATAGGGAATCCCCTTGTAAGTGAACATCAGGTCTTCACGATCCATAGTGTCAGCAACAACCATTGATTTTTCCAAAATATCAATAAATTTTCGTTGGGGCCTTGGCATTTTTATCTTTCCTTCATACACACTCTCTCTCTCTCTCTCTCTCTTTCTCTCTGTTGATGTGAAGCTGTATGCAGACAGAGCAGGGCACAGACTACCTTTAAATACAGATTTTGTGCTCCACATGAACAGCACTTCACTCCTCCCTCTATCTCTGTCAACAATGGTCCAGACAAGAAGCTTGAACCAGTTCCAACTGAATTAATTTCTACTCATAATATTGACTTCTCTGGGAGTTGGATTGGAGCCCAAAATGGGAAGCAAGGAAATTAATCTACTGCTTTGGTGCTTTAAAGAAACTGTTAATGTTTAACTTATGCATTCTGGTTGATTTTATGAAGAGATAGCTTAAAATTTACTGTCTCCTAAAAAAACATTTTGTATCTACTTGTGCTTACAAGCCTTGTTGCACATACATGCAAGATTAGAGATAACGGAGAGTAGTTAACTTTGCCAAACAGTACTTACTATGACAGGTTAGCAACAGCTGGAGGAATGTTTTCCCCGCTGTGTGTCTGTAGGGCTATGCGTCTGGAGACTCTAAAGGTCCACAAACTAAAAAAGCAAAGAAATGAAAAAAGAAGGATTTAAAAAAGAATTCTTGGGAGGAAAACTGAGAAGGACACTAAGAAAGACTTGGGCAGGACAGGGTAATGGATGAGCATACATTTGTTACCCCTAGAAGTAGAAGCCTGGCTTAAATGAGAGCCAAAAAATGTTACCAAAACTAGAAAAAACCCATAGTTGAGGAGACAAGGTGTGTGGTGTAGGAACAGATCTTTTATCTTTAACTGTGTATTTCTTTTACTACTAAATTAAGAGAAATGACCTTTATAACCATGTGCAAGATCTTTCTGCCCGCTTGTATCTATGACATGCTATGACATGAATCTGTAGCCCAGATTGCACACTTGGCTGGAGTTCTGGGACAGGGTATGTTTAATCTATGAGGGAATATAAGAGATCGCAGAGAAACAGGCCATTGGATTCTTGATCCCTCTCAAGATAAAGTGCAAGACAGAGGATCCAGATCCCAAAAGTGTGCATAGGAAGAGCAAGTCAAGGCCTGACAGACACTGACAACAGTGCACTTATGGCTAACCTGTTTTAAACAAAAGGCTATTATTTACTATATACTCTCAGCACCCTTACTCCCTCCCCACTCCTCATTCCATACCTCACCTTTGTTTTTTCTCCCACCCCTTTCATCTTGTCTTAAACAAGCTCTTTGGAACAAGGACAGCTTTCAATGTATGTCTATTGAGACTCTAGCACAATGGTTCTCAAACTTTTTAGTAGGTCGAGATTAACTCATTTTTGACTACAGAAAAATCATAGAGCAATTCCTCTGTTGCAAAGAACTCAAAGATCACAGGAGGTCAGAATGCTTTTAACAATATAGATTCCTATTTGAAATCTCTGGATGGCTCTTGTGAATCATGCTTGCAAATTTAATAATGTTAAAATTGTGTGGCAACTCAGGGCACCCTTGAAAGGATCTCAAGGCACCTGAGAATGGTGTTGGACCCTGGTTGAGAATCACTGCCCCAGAACAACAGAGGAGCAATGTAGGAACTACCATAAACAACATCATTAAGAAATCTTTAGAATGGGATCTGTTCAGGGAGGAGAAACCTCCAGAAAGTAAAATCATGGAGAATGTGGGTAAAATCCTGGAACAATTTACATGAGTAAGTAGGTGTACATATGTAGCCATGTACCTGCCTGGCCAGCACATAGTATATGTATATGCATGACGCATGGGTAACAGGATCCCAAACTGTGTGCAAGGGCCAAAAAAGCCACATACAAAGCAGGACAACTGTTGTTTAGGTGCACAAAAAGGAACAGAAGTACACCATGGGCGTACACATACAATTAATGCAACTGAATATATGCCATCTTAATTAAAAATAACCCCAACAGCAGCATCTACATGTGCATTTAAGCACAATAATTTACTGCACTGCCAGATACCACTTGTATCTGACAGGACTATCCAGCAGTGCAATAAATTAGTTTACTGCACCCTAATTATCACATGTACATGTAGATGGTGACGATTTACTGTACAGTGAATTAATCTGCTGCTCAGTAAAGGGTGTCATGTACAGAAGTTGCTTTTTTTGCCATTTAAAGTGTTTTATTGCCATGTCTTAACAGAAATTCATGGTTTTACAGTACTTTAAATATGGCTGCAGAGTTTTAAATTAACCCTGGTTAAATGAGAGATTAAATTTGAAGTGCCATGTTCTACAGAACTTCAGCAACCTACAGTATTTTAAATAACTTCTGTAGGCTGGAGCCTGCCCAGAGCCACTTCTTTGTACGGTGCCTCCTGCCTCCAAGCTGGACAGCGCAGGGAGACTCAGAGGCCGCTCCCACCAAACACTGCTCTTCTGTGGGCATGTCTACACATGCAATTAATGTACCTTAAGGTTACTGCACATTAAAATAAGGCTTGGGATGAAGCCCTGTGGCCAAGCAGCAGCAGCACCCTGAGTTCTCCCTTTGCTTTGCTTGCTGAGAGGATGGGGGAGCTCTCTGTCCCCAGTCCTGGCACTGCTAACCCTTGCCCCTCTCCTTGCCCCAACCCCAGCAGTTCTCCCTGGTCCTGGCACTGCTCAGCTCCTGGATCCCCCCAGGCACAGGTGGGGAGTGGGAGCCAGCTGGGCCATGCACTGCACAGGCAACAGCAGGGCTCAGTGGACAGGGAACTCTCTGTCCCTGGCCCAGTGCTGTGGGAACAGAAAGCTCCCCTGACCCCTCAGCAAGTGAAGTGAGGGGAGAGTTCACAGCGCTGCTGTCACTCGGTCACAGGGCATTGGCCCAAGCCAGCCCCACCAAACTGGGCTGTGATGCCAATCTCTGCACCAGAGCTGCAGACCACTCCTCATCCTGCCCCATGTGGCCCTTTTCTGCCTAGGCTGACTGGGAAAAAAATGTTAGTTAACCTAGTATCTGTATTTCTTGGTATTAATAAACCACATATTAGCCTAATTTACTGCACAGTAAATTCTGCACACATGTAGACAGTGACTCTTTGTTGCACATTAGATTAGATTCATAGTGTGTAAGGCTGGAAGGGACCTCGAAAGATCATCGAGTCCAGCCCCCTGCACCAAGCAGGAAAGACAACTGGGTGACCCCAGCAAGGTGACCATCCAGTTTCCTCTTGAAGATTTCCAGGGTAGGCAATTGCACCACCTCTGGAGGGAGCTTAAGTTAATCCAATGCACAGTAAAGCATCTTGTGTAGATGTACGCTGTCATGTTTAACAGTGCAGTAACTATAGTGCTATAAAAATGCTCTAAATTACAGCACTGTAAAACGTGCACAGACCTCTTCTGTACACACCCTCCCTAAGTGTTATATTCTCTCATCCTGCAGAGGAAGGACTTCAATTGACTTCAAGGGAGCTGCCATTTTATACTTGCAGGAAATTTGGCAGTTTGATTTTAGTGCTGGTAAATATCTCCCTCCATGACAAGCTGGTCTGGACTCTAAAGAGGGGAAATGGTATAGTATAAAACATATGATCTCACATTGTAAAAATCCATAGAAATTTTTAATGAAAATCCCTACAAGGGAATCCCAGGCATTTAATGAATCCACAAATACCTAAAGGATGACATAGAATTTTTTTTTTGGCAAAGAACTCCAATAATCAGAAATGTGCCCAGGGTGACATTTATAAAAAATCAGAAAAATAAGTGGGCAAATCCAAGGGCAAGTTTCTACAAAAATATATTGGAATGTTTTTGCCAAGTTGTCTTGACTGCAACTGTATCTGTCCTGCATACAGAAGTACAAAGGTACGTTTATAGTGATGTTTTGTTCCTTTCTAGTCACCTAAGTGGTCATTTTTGGTCATCTACATGGCATTTTTGAAACTCACATGCAGGCAGTAATTCTATTCCTGGACATCTGGCCTTGTATGCGTAGATGACTAGGTACATGTGCAGACTGGGCATGTTCAGTAGGCTCCACATGGGCCTCATGTATAACCATGACACACACGTTCTCTCCTTGTGGATGGGTGACAGCCTTAATTGCCTGAAAATGTAGTTCTCAAAGGGGGCTTGAATCTCTGTGTCTCTGACTTCCCAGCACCACAGTCTAATCTCCACACCAGAGATCAGCAATTATCCGGCCCCTTCTCTGACATTACTTTTGAAGCTGGCCCCCTCAGCAGCCAGCAAAGAGAGGTATGTGGATGATATATAGGGCCAAGAGAAAGCAAGTAGCCCAGAGGGTGCATGTCTCAATGAAGTGGCCCATAGTCTGAAAAAGTGGGTGCCACTACTCCCACTGAGGCAGAAGCTTCCCCCTACACTGCCCCACAGCTACTTTTTCCAATGACTAAGTTAGTGTCTACCTTTGAAAAGGAGAAAGGTCTTGCTCCTGTGTTGCCTGTGGTATGATGCTTACAGAACTGTGATGATAGACAGCCAAAAACCCAGGATCAAAGCCCCTCTGAGAATGTGGAGCTTGGGACCTGTGTTCTCAGGCCTCCCAGGAAAGTGACTTGGGCACTCATCTATTGATGGCCAGAGACAGGAGTGCTCTTGCTCTCCCTCTTGTCACCTTGCATGCCTAGGAATAAAATCCTTCTGGGTGAATAAATGCTGCAAATAGCCCCTTATATTTCCAGGAAGGACTAGTCTGCTGCCTTTAGACAAAGAATTCTCCTATTAGATATGAAAGTAGTCATATGTATCAGCAGATACAGGCCACAGCCACCAAACACCATGAGATAAGAGCTTGACCTTATCCCTGCCTGATAATTGTAGTTCGGAGAAAAAATACTGTGCACTTTTCTTGCAGCTGACATGAAATATTTGAACAAAACCGTACCTTGAACCCAGCCATGTAAATGTTATGCAATGATGGTTACATTTCTACATTAAGCTCCTTAACTTACGAAATATAGGGTATTATGCTTTGGATTTCAGTTCAATGTTCTGTTTTCTTAGCTGGGACTAAGACTTAAATCAGATGTTGTGCCTCACCTAGATGTGTATATATTGGGCTTTGTGTATATGGTTTTATGTTACACCAGGATTTACACTGTTTGTACAGCACCCAGCCCAGAAGGGCTTGGACTAAGTCACAGTCTCCTGACACTTCTTTAGGACTAATACGGAATAAGAAGAGGAAAAAAATCAGATAGCTGGCTAGAATTACAGATAACATTGTGTTTGTGTTCTTATTTCAACTTTTCAATCACTCATGACTTCCACAAACATTCACCTTGTCTGTGGCCAAAGGCAAATTTATTTTAGAAAGACAGAACAAACATCATCCTGTCATATTTAAATAAGAAGAAAGAGAAAATATAATCTTTTCATTATAAGGAAATTCTTGCTTTTCTTACTCAGTATTACTCCTATAGTAGTGTCAAGAGACTGTGACCTAGCCCAAGCCTTACTGGGCTGGGCACTGTACAAACAGCGTAAATTCTGGTTCATTGCAAGCCATACATGGAAGTAAGGGGATACGAGGAGTCCCCTCACATCTCTTCATAAGTTTCTGGCATTACCAGAGGTGCTGTATAGGAAAAAGCAGCCACTGGCCTACTATTGCCCTTCCTTCACATGCAGGTGGGCAGGAGTACGGCGTGGGCTCAACTCTTTGTGCTGTCTTCAGAAGACACCAGCCAACACTTTGAAGCTGACTCAGAATAAGAAAGTAAAAGAGCTAGCAGAGCTAACTTCCCTTTCTGGAGAAAGGATGAAGCAGGGTGAGTCACCTTAGTGCTATCCTTGGCACAGTTATATGCTGCCCTTTACAGAGGATGGACTCTAGGTTCACAGTTCAGCTGAGAGTAAAATGACACTGACTCAAATTCTTACCATGCAAAAGGAATTTTTTTATTTCAATAGCTTGGTTGTTGCCATTCCTGAATGACAGCTGTGAGAGTGTAATGTTGCAACACTTTTGGACATTGTCTTTCAAAATTATGTTGCCAGGGATTGGCAGCCTATGGTCTGCAGGCCAAATCTGGCCTATACAGCCTATTGATTTGTTTTGTGGGTGTGGGGCTATAGTGACATTGAGCAGCGAGGTCTTCAACAGCACTCGCTTTCACTATCCTGGCACAGAGAAAAACAGCGGCAGCAGGTGCAAGGAAAAGTAGCAGTGGCGGGCACCCTTCCTGTGCTGGCAGTGGTCACTTTCCCTATGCTGATAGTGAGGGAAGCAGCAGCAGCAGGCACAGGGAGAAGAAGCAGTAGTGGGCACAGAGGAAAAGCAGTGGTGGTGGACATGTTCCCCATAGTGGAGCAGAGAAAAGTGGTAGCTGCCCATGTTTCCCCTGCCAGTCACAGGGAAAAGAGGCAGCAGTGGCTGAGTCCCCTAGTACCTTCCCATCCACCTGCAGGCACACCTCTGACCAAACTGGGTCAATCCAGCCTGCAGCCATAAAAATTATTTACTATTGATGTAGCCACATGAAAGGCATTTCTTTAGCAAATGTTGCCCACTCTTTACTATGTATGAGCAGTGTCACTAAAAATCTATGGTGCAAGGTGATACAAGTTGTTTTTATCCCCAAATCATGCACTTTAGCAGCTTTGTGGTACTAAAAGTGATCATTACAATGTCATTGTTTAAAGAGAAAAAATTAAACTAAATCATCATAAAATTCACAGCTGGTAAAAAATTCTCTCTCTCAAAAGAAAATTAGATTCTTAAAACCTTCAGGTAGTGAAGCTGGAATCAAGTACTACAGAATTTGTCTTGATTTCTGCAGAATCAGCTCATCCTGTGGGAAACTTCTGTCAGAAATTATGCTTTTATCTTCATGCTTTGCTGTACTCCTTGTACTTTATCTTGACTCCCAGTTTTGTTTCTGCTAAACACTCTTCAAATTTTCTCTCCATCTCTTGGTTTTGAGCTTCAGTAAAAAGGGTCTTCCAGTCACTAATAGCACCTTCAAGCAAATAGAGTTATTTCATTACACTGGATGTATCACTGCCTCATGATTTGCAACTGTTCTATTTTAACAATTTCAGCCATGATGTGCATAAACTATACCAGGGACGTCCAATTGGTGGCCAGTAGGCTGCATGGACAGATCTAGGATTTTGAAAAGAGGGGTGCAAATGATATGGTGCATCATCACATACAAAACAACACATATTTTTCTCCAGTTAAAGTGAAACTTGAAGCTTTACTAATATACTAGGAGCCTGGGGCTATATTGTTCAGTTTAAGATCCAAGCAAAAACAAATATAATTCCATGGATTGTGCATTAATTTGCTGCATTATATATAATGTATAAAAAAGTGTAATAGAGAAAAAAGTAATGAAAAGATGTTGTTTCACTAGTCCTGTAATCATTAGAATTAAATGTATATCTCTCTTTCAGATTCATAAAATTAAACAAAGCCAATACTCCACTGAAAGTTTTCTCCACGCATGAGGTTATGTTTTTAGCTAGAGTCAAAAACAGTCTACAGGGCTGTGAAAAGGAGCATCTAACAGCGATCAGAAATATGAAAGAAAGGATAGCTTAATTAGTGGGACATCAAAACCATTAGAAAAGGGTTCTTAACATCTGTGGACTGAAGAGTTTAGAAGGAATCAGATTGATTATGATGAGCCATGAAGTCAAGTGACTCCCTCAAAGCTGCCTGAATAGAAATGCTGCTGCCACTGCCAGACAGTTGGTTTTAAACTTTAGGTGGACCAGGGATCAAAGAAGGGGAAGGGATGCAACAGCACCACTACATGCCCACCCACCCCCCGCCAGATCTTTCCCTGTGTTCTTTTTCCTTTTAAAAGCCCTTTAATGGTCCTATTAGTCTAGCTATCCTCACTTCTGCAGTTCAGTTATCTACTAGCTTCCCTTAGTAATGTAGCTCCCATTTCACACCACTGAAGAAAGTTTTTAACTCTAGCTAGAAACATTAACCCACATGTGGAAATGTTACTCAGGTAAACATTAGCTCAGGTATGGAAAAAACTTTCAATGAAGCATTGGAGGCACTGCCAAGATGCTCAAGAAAGCTCAATTTTGTTTTATGAATCTGAGAAAGAAATATACATTAAACTATAACAACTTCAAAATTAATGAAACAACATATTTTGATTATTTTGACTGGTTTCTTGTGTTTTTATATATAATCTATGATACAGAAAATGAATGCACATTCCAATAAAGCTTAGGGTTTGGGGGGCTTTGTTGATTTTTTTGGTTTTGTTTGTTTGTTTGTTTGTTTTTGCTTCAGTCTTAAACTGAATAATATAGCTTAAGGCCTTTAGCTTATTAGTGAAGCTTCTAGTTTCTTTTAAAATTTGTGTTGTGTTATATGTGATGATACACCACAACATCTGCACCCCACTTTTCAAACTCCTAGATCCATGCACAGTTGTCAGTTTCCCAAGTTACAACAACTAAAATTCACCAACATTTCAATTACAGAGAGTGGCAGATAGTTCCCAGAGAACCCAGCTCTTGGAACCCCTCAGCAGGCCTGGCTAAAAGCAAGACCTTACACTTCCAGGGTCTCTGGTTCTGGGTCCGTGTACCAGGAATATAGGAAGGAATCTATCTGAATTCTGGTTGATTTTGGTGACAGTACATTAAACTGAGATATTTTGAAACAATCCTCAAAAAAACAGCATTTTCTGTGAAAACTTTGTCAGCCCTATTGCTTGTATATGAAAGAGAACGGCTGCATGTAAGGTATATAAAAACTGAATTAAGTATTTGTTGGAAAAGATATATGAATAAAAATGTAATAAATGACTCTCTACCAAACTGAAGACTGTCCAGCTTTGGGGAACTTTGTGGGAGGTGCCGCTCTGAAGTGAGGAATGAACTAAAGAAATGTTGTGATTTACACACTGATAAAATACTGTGATATACATGTTTTAAACAGAGCATCAGTGAAATATATTTACATCCAATAAATTCTAGTAGACTTCCTGCAATGGGAAGCTTGACATGTTCTACCAGTAGAGGACTACTAGTTCCTTTTTTGGTAATTTACCTTTGCGGAAGAGAATATTTCCAAAGGTACCATGGGTGCTATGGGAATTCTCTTTCATAGCCTGGAAGCTGCTCCTGTCTATAACTGCCTGTAGTTCTTCCTCTGTCAAGGAGAACTTGAAGAATTCAGTGATTTTTGTCACTCCTAAAATCAAATTCTGAAAAGAGGGGGGTACCATATTTCAAATTGTTCACAGAAAACAGATAAAGGATTGTGTTCCACGTACCAAGACAACAATGGAAACAGAACTTTTGCCACAAGAATACAGTATATAAAGCTTTGCATCTGAGGATTTCAGAGTGAGTCAGGGATGTAGCAAGCTCTGTCAGTGCCCTGGGCAGAGATGGAGAAGGAGGGCAGTGGGGGCCAAACCAGAGACGTATCTGGTAGTGTTTCTACCTTCAGCAGCTATGAGTTCTACCTTCCTCCTTCTGGCTGGTGTTCAGGACCAAGGGGCTGGAGACAGAGGCTAGGTAGAGGCATTACACTTCATGCACATTAAGCATACAGAAAGTACTTTAAATCTATAAAAGAATAAATGTTCATGACATTGGAAGTGTTTTATGAATGGTGGATCCTAGTCTAAGATAACCCTTGATGGATACAGTATAAGACTAAAGACCTTTAAGTTAGAGTGCTTTTTTAAACATCTGTACCACATCCATCGTACTTCAAAGTAAGTCATGTTCTGCTACTATCACAGGGACTCCTTGCTGGGTGGCTTGATAGCCTTGACTGGTGCTCCAGGCAAGCACCAGCCCAGCCCTGCCCCTGGGCTGTCACAGAGAGGAGAGAGAAGGCTCTGTCTCCTCCCTGCACAACCAGGTGGGAGGGCGGGAAAATGGAGCCTCTCTGCCAGGTTGATTCCCCCCACCCCAAGCTTGCAGGCTCCGGTCTTGGTGGGGGCTGGGCTGGGTCCATGCAGCAGAGAGGCTCCATTTCCCACCCCTTGGCCCCAGTTCCCAGTATGGAGAAAAGCTGGGCTGGACAGCCCTGTGCTGCAACTTCTGGCTCCTGTTGTAAGGAGGCTCAAGAGAGGGGGTGGAAGAAAGGAGCCCGCACCATCAGGGCCCCCCCACAGCTTGCTGGGTGAGGTCACGAGGGAGGGAGGGGGGTGGTCCAGATCTGCATAGCAGAAGGGCTCCCTTCCTCCCTCCCTCGCCCCACCCCAACCTCTTGACAGCTGCAGCCAGGAGCTGCAGTGTGGGGATGCCAAACCAGGCTTTTCACTATGCCAGGAACTGCAGCCAGGAGGAAAAGGACCTCTGCTGCGAGGGTCTTGGAGGGGGAGTGAACCAGGTCTGTGAAGTGGGGGGGCTCCCTCCTCCCCCCAACCCCAGTTCCTGGCATAGTGAAAAGCAGGGCTGCAACTCCTGGCTGCAGCTGCCAAGAGGCTGGGGTGAGGGGTGGGAAGGGGGAACCCCCTCGACACATGGACCTGACTCAACTCCCACCTGAGACCCCAGCCAGCAAGCTGTGGGGTGCCACTGCAGTGTGGGAGTTTCTGCTCCCCCCCACCTTTCATCCCCACTGCTGACAGTTGGCAGCTTGTGGGAGGGTGGGGTTCAGGAGGGGGAGGCCGCTCTGGCAGCCTCCTGGGAGGTGTGTGACAGTGCCCCCCACCTGCTGGCATGGCCAGTGCAGGCAGCAAGCCTCCCCACCCCCCACCCCACAAATGGTGAATGTCTTTTT